AAATAGATTTCGCTCCGAGTGTGTTTTTGGGGAACATGTAGAGCAACAAGAATGCAGGATCACTCCAAAGAACACATTCACTTCTTTGCTGGATACAAGGAAACGAGTGATCGCTCAAATCCAATGGCTCTTTTATTTTCAAAAAGCTTCACTTAAGTATTTACAGTTTGTGCAAAAACATTTAAAGGTTTCAAGGACTTTACATTGTAAGTTCAACCTCAAGGCACATACATGGAACAACATCAATATTTCATCATGAGAACAGAAATTTAACTTTGGTTCCTAAGAAAACGTCTCGGTGTGGATGGCTAACGTAACACTGTGTCTTGGATGAGAAGCCAGAAGCCAGGATGGCGACGTATCCCAACATAGCCATTTTACATGCACTGTAAGTTTCCAGCCTACTTCCTCTACACCAAAGAAAATCTCTGCGTGCTGCATCTCAACCGCGTGTGGCGATCGACTGGGAAGAAGAAATATTTGAAAGTCCAAACCTCGGTGTGATAACAAATGAAAGGCTATGAAGCTAAATACAGTACATGCAAAAAATTCTTGAATGAACATCACTGGCTAATAGATATTTGCAGCAAAGGTTCTGCCTGCAGGAAGAAACGGGCGACTTTCCACCTTTTCAATTTCACGTGTTCTGTCTGAGGTGACCTCTCAATGATTAAACATAATTATTCCAACGTGAATCAATGAGCTTCTCGGCACCCTGAAACTGTAATAAGACGACATTCGCAGCCGTGTGTAAATTCCATTGGCTATGGCACTGCAGTCTCTTGATCGAAATTAAGAGTAATGTATGCTGCAAAACAACCACCAAAGCCTCTTCCCAGTCTGGCTGAATCATTAGCAGTGCACCGCTTAATTTCTGGCACTATGGATGAACAGTCTCTTCGTTAGCTAGTGTGTGTGTCACGCTTCCTGTTAACGCCGTTATTGTTACTGCAGTCGATCGGAGAAATGTGCTTTCTGTTCTTGCTGCCGTCTCTTTATGTCTCATGTTTTCTACTCCCCTTTCTTCCTCCCACTTAACTCCCTCGCTCTCTCTCCCTCTCGTTAATTATTCATTCCTGCATAAAAGGTAAGGCAAATATCTGTCTCCGTTACACATTCACAGACAGGGGGAGATGCTAAATGTTGCAATGGATTCACCTGGCTTGCTTGATCGTGGGACTAAAATAGGGCTTTATATCTAAAATGAAAGAAAAAAAAATCCCAGTGGTAGCATGTTCAAGTGCTGCATGGGATTATGGTCAGCTGTTAAAGCATGTAGCGAACAGTACATGGTGAACTGTCGGTTAGGTACCCAGCAGGGGAAAGCCGAGCACAGGTCAGGGCAGCCTGGTGTGTCTCGATGGACAGCATGTATTGGGTTGGCTGATATGTGTATTAGTAGAAAAAGAATTAAACAAAAAGTAGAGATACTTTGATAACCACAGAAGATGTAGAACAACTTGAAATAATTTTTAAAAATGATTTACATACTTGAATAGGAGCTGAGGAGTGAAAGATGGGGTTTGCCGTTTTACAAAGTTCACTTTTTTTTTGCTGAGATTAATGAGAAGACTCACATCACTTTCATGTCTGTATAGCTTAATTCAGTGATAAGCTAAAACTGTTATGTTCAACTCACCATTTACCAGCACCAATGCCAACACCACTAATGAGCACATTAGTTCACATTTGTTTTTAATCTGTGCAAAAATATGAAGTCTAAAAACAACATTTTATAGTAAAGTTTTTTAGCATTAGCCTGAGCACACTAGCTATTTTCCAGTTTTCAGACTTGAAGCTCAACTAGGATAATAGGCAGCCAGTGACAGTGTCCCTTATAGTGAGCAGAGTAGTATGATTGTTCCTTTTTCACATGATTGATATTGTGATTATTTTGGTTAAAAATATTCACAAAAAAAAAATACATTTGGATATGATGGCAAAAAAGAAATTAAAAAACCCGACAAATCAATCATCGCTATCAATCATCCTTAGCTTTAAATAAATTATCTAAACCACCTGCATATTAATTGAGAAGTTGGGGAATAATAGGTGGTTTCTTACTAAAGTAAGGAGAAGATTGATGCCATAGACACGAAGTCGTAGTCAAGAGCAGATGAGCTTAGCTTGAAACAGACAGGGCTATGGCTAATCTCGCTATGTCCAATATCTACATTAGATCACATTTGTTCAATCTGTACAAAAATTAGAAGTCTAAAAATGACCTTGTGGTTTTACAGCGTAGAAGACTTCATAGACTTGTTTGCGAGTGCAAACAAGCTGTTTACAAGCTGTTTTCATGTTTTTACTTTCCAAGCTAGGTTAGGCTAGCTGGCTGCTGGTGCTAGCACCTTTTTTTTAGCATGCTAACAGTAAAGTGGTGTTAATTAGATGTTTTTAATAGATTTTACTGCACAACTATCATGACCAAAAAAACAGATCTGACAAAAATAATGTTGTGATAGCTATAACATATCTGCTATTGGTCCTTGTTCAAATATTGCTATGCTAGCTAAAACGCTTTTCTGAGAAAACAAATTATATATCTTCGGTTTTTGTTTCTTTTTTTTGTGCAAATGAACAAAGAGCTGCAAAGAGTAAATCTGTGACCTAAACACACAACAACTGTACAGCAAAGAACAATTAGGCTACATGATAATATACAATATTCTGAAATGTTACAAAAAGATTTATGATGAAACTCTAGTAGATTTTTTTTCAGCTAAACACTCAGAAAAAAAAATGTCATTAAAATCTCTGTCATTAAAAAAAAATTAATGACAGAGATTTTATCTTTGAAAAAGAAATTACCACTTCCATCTAAAAAACAAATGAATTTTCAATACGTAAAAATAATTTTAGGGTGACCTTAAATTACATTTTAAGATGGATGATTTAATTCATTAAAGTATTCAATTAAAGGTTGAACAGATTTTAAGCACTGGAATTGCAAACAGGCCAATTTATCACAAACTGAGCTATTGCTGGAGTCATAGGAAGAGCGCTTATTTTTAATCTCAACGCTTCGCACGAGCCCTTAAAAAAATCTCTGAATTGTAAAAAGTGATCTTAGGTTGTGCCGACTCTGTCGGGTACAGTGCATTTGAACAGCTGAATCTGTGTGCCTCGCAAAGAGTTAAAAACTACCTCTCAGCATGAGCTTCGGGCAGCCATGTGAAAATAAGGCCTACATATTTCTCTCCCTTTTTTGGTTGAGGATTATGGGAAGGGGGGAAAGAAAAGGGAAGCAGCTCTTTAAGCCTGGCCCCTCAAAATAAAATCTTGTCAAATCAAATAAAGCTTCCTTAAGAGGTGCATAATGAAGACCTCACACTGGCACCCTCACATTCGATGCAAAGAGAAGCCACCAACGCTTACAAGCTGAAGGGCAGGGAAAGCGTTTTAACTGAGCCGTGCACAGATCGGAGCGAAGAGTTGGACGCTGACACGGGAAGGCAGACAGAGTGGCAATCATCCTCTCAGAGATGCTGTTGTGAAGTGAGCAGCTGCATTGTTTTGGCTGAGCAAAGCGTGAATGAAAAAGGCCACACTATAAGTGCGGACAAAAGGATAAATAATGAGAAGGTAGATGAAGCGCTCGGTCGCAGCGCAGTGTGCGATCATGGGCGGGGTGCGAGTCCATTGTTGTAATTTCCTAATTTATCACAAAGTCTAATGGACGATGGGACAAGGTTGAGATAAGTGGCTGTATAATTAGTGTTATGTGTGAGCCATATCAAAATTCATCATGCTCTCCACACACACACACACACAAACACACACACACACACACACACACACACACACACAAATCATCTCATAATGGACCGGAGTGGTGAAAATCCATATCATTTAGCCAGCAAACACAGAAACACTGTTAGTTTTAAATGATTCCACATCATTAAGTAGCCCAATGAGCAAAAATACTCGACACAATGCTGTTCAAGCATGAGTAATGTTGTCTGGGTAATGGGCTCGGGGGAAATGGTGGAGGTAAAGTGATCTCTCTGGCCTGTCTATGTACCACACACACACACACACACACACACACACACACACACAAAACGCTGAGGAAAACTGCCCCCTTGTGGCCTCACTGGCCAAAACATTTGGGGGGGAAAGTAGCTGAGCGAACGAATGTTTCTTCGAAAGGAAAGGATCAGCAAGAATCAGCACATTCAAGCATGATTTTAGAAACAATAATTTTTCCAGAGCTGTCCAAAACCCACCAATTCTACCTGGAAACAAACAGAACAAAGATGCTTTTAGTGTCAAGGAACTTTCAGCCCAGGCTTTTCAACAACACTGATGATATTCCCAACCTGCATGGCCGTGCACAACCCCCGTCACACGCCACCACCGCCTACCTCTGCTCATTTCCTGCCTTGCTGCCATTAATAAGAACGTGCACTTCAATTCTCACGTTTTCTTTTTTTCCTTTTTAAACACACCGTCACTGAACCAGCGCCATATTTCCTCTAATCAGCAGTGTTTGGATTTCCCCGTCTGCTGTGTTGTTCTGGGGAGGGTGTTTTTATTATTCTTTTGATTTTTTTGCAGGGTTTCAAAGTGTGAAAAGGTCCTATTTTTGCTTCTGTGGTTAGCAAAGGATCCCAGCCCTGCTAAAGCGCCCCCTCCCCCAAAAAACATTTCCAAGGCTGACAGCAAATTTTTTTTTTGTCAGAAGCTACACCCAGGGTGCCGTGATTGTACAAATCCATGTTCATGTACAGTACTGACCGTTAAAACAACTTCCAAAACCCTGCTGGTTATAAAAAAAAAGAAACACTTGTATCTGTTTTTCTAGGAATAAAAAAGATAGCAGAGAATCCCACATTATTATCCACAGTATAAATTACATCGTAGACAGAACTTGGAAATATATATAATACAGTTATATTTCACTATAATTTTTTATAATTTTTCAATGTCTAGACAAACAGTGTGTGTGTGTTTATGCAAGTCTTTTTGCTTTGCTTTGCTTTGCGCGTGTGTGTGTGTGTGTGTGTGTGTGTGTGTGTGTGTGTGTGTGTGTGTGTGTGTGTGTGTGTGTGTGTGTGTGTATGCTGCTGTACTGAGTGTCTGCAGCATCACGTGTGGCAGAACTCTGTACTGGGCACGTTGCTGCTCTTGCAGTAGGCTATGCTGTTGTTACTGAGGTGACAGTCTCTAAATCCAATGCCCCCGTTGGGAGTGTAGATGGGCTGGATGCGGAAATCTCCCTTGAGCAGCTGCTCATTGTTCAGCGCCACTATCTGGAAACTGGTCTCAGTCATCTCCAGAATGGAGTTATCCTTCTTGGTTCCAGCCTCGCAGTAGTCGTCTTTTCTCCTGCCGCGGTTGTATTTCCACTTGGTCGAAGACGACCGGTTCTTCCTGTGCATGTGCCAGCAGAACAAGCTGAGCAGCGTAACCAGGACGATAAGAACAGCCCCTCCTATGATCCCAGCCATTAGCAGCGTGGAGCTGATGCTGTCCTGAGGAGCCTGCTCTCTGCCCGGAGGCTTGGTGGTCACTGGCGGCTTGGTCCTGGCCTCGGAGCATATAGTATCCTCCCCAGGCCTATAGGAATTAAGGGTGTCCAGGACGTGCACGCAGATCCGATACACAGACCGGGGATCCAGGTTGGTGAGGCTGATGCGCCGCAGGTCCCCGCTCACCGTCCTCTCCTGCATTCCTTCGTTGATTTGGCTTTGGCCCCTTTTGACCCAAGTGACCTTGTAGGCGGTGACAGTAAAGTAGGAAGCCCAGCTCACGTCGATGTTGGTGGAGTTGACCACGTGGAAGGAGATCTGAAGAGGGTCCTCGTAAGGAGGCAGGGGTCCGGCAGGGTTGTTAAGTAAGGGGGGCAGCGTGGGGGAGGGGGAGTCAAAGTAGTAAGGGATGGATGAAGTGATGAGGGTGGAAATCATGGTGGTGACAGGGGTGGTGGTGGGTGGGGGAGGGGGTGTGGAGCGGAGGGTGGGCCAGGGCGGCTGGTCGGGTTGAATGGGGCACTCAATAATATCCAGCGTGAGCTCTCTGATTGTCATGCCACGCACCTTCTCCGGACTCGAGCACGTAAACCCGCGGGCGTTGACAGAGGAAGGCAGCGATTTGAGCCACACCACCACCCATTTTACGGTGCAGTCACAGCGCCACGGGTTGTTTCGCACTATGAGGTGCCTCAGGCTGGACAGGCCATCAAACACACCTTGTGTTAGAGTTTGAAGCTGGTTGCTGGAGATATCCAGTCTTTCCAGCCTGTTTAGACCCGCAAACGCCGCCACGGGGATCTGGTCGATCTGGTTCTCCTGTAGGCTAAGTTTGACCAGCGACTGGCTGGGCAAGAGAGGAGGGGGGAAAGTTAGTGAATTGCGGGCCAGAGCCAACTCACGGAGGGTGGCCAGGTCCTGGAAGGTCCCTGGTGCGATGCCCTCATCTGTCAGCAGGTTCCCGTCCAGCAGGAGGCGCTGTAGACGTGTCACATTCTGGAAGGCCTCCTCTGCAATGACAGCAATGCGGTTCTCATCTAACCGCAGCTCCTTCAGGTCTTCGGGAAGACCAATGGGAACGCTGCTTAAGTGGTTCTTGGTGAGGAAGAGGAGTTTGAGGCTTACCGCCTCCCTGAAGGCCCCTTCTTCCACCCCTACTGTGGAGATGGAGTTATCGTCAAGGTGTAGCTCCTCTAGTTTAGTCAATTGGGCAAGAGCTGCCTTGGAGATTGTTTGGATATTGTTTTCCTGGAGGTGCAGGACCTTGGTGTTTTTGGGCAGATTCACAGGGAATTCGTCCAGCTGGTTGCCGTACAGGTACACAGTTTCTACGGAGACCAGATTGTGAAGTTCCACAGGGAAACCAGCATTGTTGATCTGGTTGTTGTGGAGGTAGAGGACCTTGTAGCCCTCCTGTATCCCCAGAGGCACTGATGTCAGGCTGCGTTCGTTGCAGTACACAAACCCTTTGTCACAACGACACTCTTGCGGACAAGAGGCACCTGGGCTGAATTGCATTTGGAGGCTTAGGATGACAGTCAACCAAAATTGCAAGAACGAAGCCCAATCTTTATTCCAGGGTCCAGCCAGAAACTCCATAGTGGAAAAACAAACAGGGGGGAAAAAAGGCAAACCAACAATAAAAAAAAAAAAAAAAACTGGCGGGAGGGAATAAAAAAATGAAAATCAGAGAGGCAAATGACGTATATATCCACCAAAAACCAGACCCATGAAAATATATAAAAAAGTCCAACTAAGATTGTTAAGTAATGATGCAGTTAGCTGGGAAAAGAGCAGGAAACTGTGGGAGTAATCCTGTAAATGCTAGTCCTCAGCCGAAGAGCGATGGTCTCATTAGTGGTGGCCAGGCCTCCGACTGACTCCATCCATGCTGAGACATCAGACCATAGCAGGACTCTTCTCTCGCTGCTCCATGCAGAGCTCAGCCAGGGCCAATTTGAGTGCCACCGCAGGCTCCGCTCGCCTGTCCGTCACACACTGCTGGTCCCAGACCAGGGCAGAGTCCAAGGGGGGTGACATTTGGATCCAGAGACCTGCGGGAAAACAAAGAGAAGCTAGATGAGTATTTTCAGAGGTGGCCTGTTCTCGGAAAAAAAGAAAAGAAAAATAGGGGGCCTCCCTTTTCCCTCTGTCTCTTTATTTAAAATACAAACACATACCAACTGACTTCCATTTTGCTCCCACTCTTCCCTTCTTTCCCAAGACAGACAGAGGCACAAAACATTGCACTGTGGAATTATGCACTGACTATGTAAAAAAAAAAAAGAGTCTGATAAATATTCTGAACAGCTCCTGCACATCCGGTTTCACAGACATAAAGAAGGCTTTTATCCCGTGCGCTCTATCAAAGGCGGTAATAGAGCACTGCAAGGACACACACTCGTGGATTCACAGGGTTTCTCAGCAACATCACCGCTGCTTAATGGAAAACATGCTAAAAAGAGGCGAGGTTAATAAAGATATGAGCTGTCTGTGTGCCAACATGGACACGGAGGATATTTCCTGGGAAAAGAAAACAATGCCGAACAGAAAACAAGCTGCAACAGCCTCTTTTCTGCTTCCCAGCTGCCTGAGCAGATTCTCGAGCAGAGGTACACGGGTAAACACACAAGTGCTTACAGTAAACACAGCCAATTGTTTTTGCCGGTGGCCCGAGGAAGAGCTCGTTATTACGTGCAAGGCCTGAACCTAACGTGGCCAAACTGGAGATTTTGAGGCTGTGGATGTTTGGAAAACAAAGACGAAGCAATCGAGGAACAGAGGCGCTGCATATCAGCTCCCCTCGCGCCCCGGATGGAGTGACAAGCACAAGCTGTCAAAAGAAATGGGATTGAAAAATAATTTAGCCCCTCCACCTGCAACAAATGATCGATACAGGCTGTTTTTCCACCTCGGAGAGGTTTGCAGTGAAGCACAAGGCCACTGGATTACAGTAGACCACCCCTCCCTAAAATCCATTATTCCAACTTTTATGAGCCATCAAATATTTCCCTGCCCCCCCCCTTTCCTTACCATAGGTAGCTTTCAGCTTAACTGCAGCTCCACCCGAAGTCAGCATTGGATGACACACGACGGTGGGAACGACTGGTTGAATGTTAAGCACTGCAACGGCCGTGACTGTGGATTAAGGAGCCTTGCAGGGTTATGGGGCCCCTCATCATTCAGCGAGCTCAGAGGAATCTGTTCAGTTTAGGGGCCGTGTTAAACAACTAAATCCAGACTTGGTATATCAGACAAGCAGCTATATTTAGTAGAAGGAGGGGGGAAAGAAAGAAGAAGAAATCTATACGCCTTCATGGCTCCGCTTCCTTAAATTCCTCCATTTGTTTGTTGACTAGATGGAAGCCCGCATGGGCTCTTTGTGGCAGGGATGGAGAAACAATCCTCTGACACACATCTGTGATCTACTTTTCTAAATTGAAAGAGCTAAATTTAATCAAATAAGCTTGTGGTGGTGGGGATAAGCAACCACATGAGGTGATAAAATGTGCTGCCACAGCGACAGAATCAACAGCAGAAGGCAGCAGCATCAAGATTACGATAGGTGCATAAATAAAATGTCACCAAGAATCCAGATTCAAAGAAGCACAGTGTCGAGTTTACTTAACACCACCAAAGAAACACAGATCAATGAGCTGCAGTGGCTTGATAAAAAAGGAGAGAAAAAACTACCCCACCAACACTCTGCTTTTTTTCCGTCTTGATTTTCTTTTTAATTTAATTTTCAGCCCAGGGAGCACAGTTTCTCACCACCAGATGAACGCTGTGATATGTGGCCAGGACAATCCGATTAGAACTGGATTTAGCCCCAGAAACGCAATTAAAAGTTTAAAAATGGATAAGGTATTTAAGAGGCGATAAGAGGCGGATCAGGTACACTTCAAAGGCTGCCCAGTGAGCGGTGTTCATTTGAATGAATTATTTCAAAGCGGGGAACGGGGGGGGTCGAAAACCGTGCAGTGCACAGAGGGTGAAAGCCCCTCTACAAAAAGAAAGAGGAAAAGAAGAAAAAAAAAACTCAGGTTTTCACTCGAGTGGGAAAAATGTGGAGCTGCGTGTTTTGTTAGCGCCAAAAACTCGATGAAATGTCTCATGAACCGCACAAATATAAACTGAACAACCGTTTTTCCTTTGCTTTTTCTCTCTAAAAGTGTCTGGGAACCCGAACGCCTTTCCTTACCATACGTAGTTCTGCTGGATGTGGGTTCGGTTACGCTTTCTGCGCTGGAATAATGAATTTCGAGTGAAAAGTGGTTCGTTTAAACGCAGCCCGGGCCCGATGTAAAGCTGCATTTTAACACACACTTTCATTATTGACCGAAAAGCATCCATCGTACCTTTGCTGAGCCTTTATCCATCGCAAACCCCGCAACCGCAGTCAACTTTTCCCCCGTCTTTACGCCTCCGTCCTTCATGCGGTCCTGCTGCAAACCCGTGCGTAAAGCTCTGTTCGGCGACGTTTGTGCGAGTCGGTTCCTACGAGCAGCTCGAACCCGGCGACTCTACGGAGGAGCATATTTGCCCGCATGGGTTATGTCCCCTTCTGCCTCCCCGTGTGTGTCTCTCGGATGTGGCTGCGAGTCCGTCCGCACTGCCGTCGGTACTTTTTTTTTCTCTCCTGCGTTTTCCCAGCTTCTAAAAGGAGAGCTCCCTCCGCTTCGACTCAACACCGTGAGCGGCGCAAAAGCACCGGAGACAGCGGCAGGGGGCACTTCTCTCGCCTTCCACACTCTGGCCGAACGGTGAGGACGCACTCGCCGAACTGTCCGCCGCCTGATCCGCCACGGGCCATGACGGCCAGCTGCGTCCGTCCTGTGCGCTGTTTTTGGTGGGGAGGTCAGACTTGCCTTTCAGTGCCTGGCGCAGCTCAGACCCGGACTCCCTGCGAGTTGTTTTCTTAGATGGATTCAGCTGATAGTGCGACGTGCCTTCTCCGCTCACCTCTCTCTCTCTCTCCCCCTCTCTCTCTCCTGTCCCTCCTCCCCTCCTCAGAATAAAGAATGCATCTCCTCCAGAGCGGCTCCGTGATGGCTTTAAGCCACAGATCCTCCCCGCTGCCCTCACACTGCAGAAAATAGTTTGTCTCTCAAACACACTCTATCCCCACACACGCTATTTTGCCCGGCCTACCTTAACCCTCGCCACTGATGTCAGATCCGAGCTCCCCAACCACCCACACACACACACACACACACTTTCATTTTAATCACAAAATTCCGAAATTAGTCCTGGAGTCACATTCCCGCTAAATAAAAGCAAAAGGAAAAAAATCTGCCTTTCCTTCTATATCATCCTGGATTTTAATTTCCAGTGTCAGGCAAATGGGGCTTTCTCTTTAGCTACGGTGCTTCTGTGCTGTTCTGTTGGCCCGCTGTAATGTCTTAGGCCTCTTTAACCCCTGTTCTTTTTGTGAAGTGTTCCTCTAATTAGCTTAAAGCTGGATAATTAAGCCCAAAAGTACGGCTTCATCTTTGCCCGCAGCCACTCTCTTGTACTGCCTCAAAGCTTCCAGACAGGCGCTGACAGCCACGGTAATTTCATCAGACTACATTGCACCCTGGCGTTAATACCGGCTCACCGGCGCACTGCTGCCGTGCCCGCGCACGTCCCCGGCGTGCGCTAACGCTCCTCGTGTATCAGTGCGCCAAACTTTGCCTAATTGCTCACGTGACGCTTCTCCCACTCATGCCCACGTAAAGTGTGCATGAGTGAGGACGTTTAAAGTATATGAAATTCATACGTCACACTCATAAGTACAGTGAGTGTGTTGCAGCCTGGCTAGCTGTTAATGACTAACAGCTTAAAGTGGCTAATGTTAGCAAACAGCTGGCCTGCTGTTGCCACACTCAGGTCCTGTTGTGAGATGAGCTTCTGACGCCATTTTGCTGAAGAGGTCTGATTCAGGGTTGTGACTCATTCTCCTGTGAAAGGCCAACTTTTGTACTGTTTTTATGTTCGGATGAAAGAAATGTCAAAGCTACCAGAGGGAATAACCTTCCACAGACATGAAACGATTCCATGTTTTTCTGCTTCAAATGTGTGACATGTGACTTAGCATAATATGTTTAAAGCTAACTCAGTGTGAAGTGATTGACATGAAAATAAGCCAACTACCATGTCAATCATTATTATTATTAATGATAACTAATAAAGGTATCACAAATAGCAACGATTTAAATGTGTCAGTCAGCTTGTATCACTCCACGTGTTATTGTCGTAAGAAGGCCTGATTTACCTGTGTTTCAAATATATTTTTCAGTTGTGCACCTGAAGCTAGGAAAACATGCAAAGCTGCAAAACGCTCTTTAAATGGTTCGGGTTTGTGGTTAGATGCCAAAAGATAAAGTCAGAAGACGATAATGGACGGCAGAAACGAGGAGAAGCCACTAAATGAATCATGTCAACTCTCGCTTCAAGTCAGCTTTGACAGGACGGGTTAGGCAACTCACAGACGTGTTGGGAGTAACTTTAAGTCAACAGAAGACAAGAAAAGCAGCAACAATAATATTTAAACAGTAGTTTATGTAAGTACAAGATACGAATTTTGTCATGGAATCCGACCTTTCAGCTCATTCTGTAAATCCTTCCAGGAAACAGCAGCAGCACATTTAAAAGCTTTTTTTCTTCCCTAATTCTGACTCTGGGGACAAATGTTTGTGTAATACTGGGAGAGTGCAGGCTATACCGTTTATGTTTTTGTACACATATATGCAGAGATAAGGACGAACCAGCCCCAGAAAAGATGTACAGATAAAAACCAACCAATGGGAAACTTTACAGAGACGGTCACTCAGCAGCAGCATACAGGCAACTGTGATGTACTCGAGTTCCACGGCGTCGTAAAACATAGACAACATAATCGTAGACAGGCTCCAATAATGGTTTTGATCTTAGGAAGCGCAGACAACTCCAATCCTCTTTGTATAACCTCCCAAATAATTTGCTGACTTTATGACTCTGCGCTACTGTTAGCAAACGCCACAATGCTAGGCATTCACAACTGCCAACATGGCTGCAGCTAAACAAAAATATAACTACATGCATATATGTGGTATAATTTTTAGTTGAATTCCATTCAGTTTTATACATAAATCCCAACAACAGTCATCCCAAGGTAAGATAAAGACTCTAACAATCAGACGACCCCCTGTGAGGTAACACTTTCTAGACTGTAGGAAGGAAAAACACCTTTTTAAAAAGAAGAAAATGAGGCGCAGCCATCGACGGTTGGGGATGAGGGCAACGAGACAGGACAAAAGACACACCGAGGAAGGGAGCCAGAGATTTATAATAACTAATGATTACCTGCAGAGTGGTGTCTAAACACAGAGAGAGTGAAACGAGGTGAGTGAAGAAGAAGCAGTCAGTACTTCATGGGAAGCTCCCAGCAGCCTACAGCTATTGCATCGTAACTACGGGAGGACTCAGGGTCACCTGATCCAGCCATAACTATGCGCTTTATCAAAAAGGAAAGTTTGAAGTCTATTATTAAAAGAAGAAGGACCTGAAAGCCAAGGGCTCGGCCTCCCGTTCTGAATGAAATATTCTAAGTAAACCAGCAGTCTGACATTGTTACAATTGTTACTATGTTACCATGTGATGGTAAGATGGGAACACCTGCTTATAACTCTCCTTTTGCCCATGTAAGTATTGAGCCACATATACAAAACCATAATATGTTACATTCCAATTATTTATCTACTGGAATTTATCCTGTAGTGTCAACTCTGTGTTCTCCAACCGTGCAAAGGCAGGCTGACTAGCAGTAGTTTGCTAGTTTCCCCGTCCTCAGTGAACTGCAGTCTAAACAGCAGAGCGCTGAAAGTCGTAAAAGGTTTGACAGCTGATTTGTGCCTGAGATGGTAGGGAAACATGCAAACAGCATTTGTAGGCTATGATGTGTGTCTTTCATGAACGGCAGAGGTTTGCAGTGCGTCGCCTCGGAGGGCTAGCAAACATGTCAGAGGCAAAACCGGTCTGATCCTGCTAGGATGTCATTCTAATTTATATTAGCTTTCACAGGAAAGAAATATAAATTACTAACAAAAGAGGAGGCATTTAAATGTCAGCTTTTGCCTTAGAAATACTAAAAGCTGTCATGATCTGTGTGCTGCGTGAGGCGGAGCCGGGGTCAGGAAGCCGTTCAGGTCAGCAGGTGCGCCTGCCTTTGATCTTTGCCTCCATTTGCCAGAGAGCATTAATGATGGACTTGCGGTGACCCATTTCAACAACGCACATAAGTCATGAACAACCTTTCCAACAAATCGGGCAGCTCCCGCTTAATCACCCCCGTCATATCGTCCAGTCAGGCTGTCCGGTGAGCACGTGTCGCTCAAGTCTTCTAAAAGCTACAGTCCTTCCACGAGATGATTCGGTTGTTCTCGCGTTTGCCTTTCACGTTTAATTTTGTCCGCCGCGTCCCCGAGACAGATGGGCGGCCGTTGCGAGGCCCAGTCCACAACATTTAATTCCTTCATAAATCAAGCGTCTCCGCACGCCATGAATTATTGATAAAGTGAATTTAGAGGAAACAGCCTATTTTTATTTTCTCCTTGATGGACGTGTTTTGCAGCAGTGTGCTACGTTCACGGTCGCTGCAGCGCGGCGGTATGTCTCGTTCTCTCTCGAGCACACAAATGGGGATGAAATGACAGACATTTAGATGAGCAAAGGAAGGTGGGGGGGCTATGGGCAAATACGCTGAAGCCATTATCTGGCTTGTTAATTTGGTTTTGCTCATTGTTGTCAAGCAAAATAACAGAGCAGAGGTCAGATGTAAAATTACCCCCAAAATAAATAAATAAGAGTCGCAGCAGATCAAATTCATCAGGATTCCTTCTGCATGTGTTTGAAACTATATCGGACAAATGCAGGAACATACTGGAAGTGGAAATTCCCCTTCACTTGCCCAGAGACCTTCCCAGGGATTTTAGTTTTTTTGGTGTGGTGTATTTACTCTGCACGCTTGTGTACCTTGATAAAACTGCAGATACACACATGACCCGAGCGCACATCAAAGCCTGCTCTGTCCATCTGCTCCTGTTCAGGGCCCCAAACAGTGTTAAAGGAGGGCAGAGGAAGGAGAAGCGTGGGGGGAAAGTCCACTTAGATATGCAGATATGTTTATCCCACGGTTATGTTAGCTGCAGTCCCCGAGAGACATCATTAGCTTATCACATTTCTCCCTGCATGAATTTACATCTGGACACCGAAAGGCACTTCAAAGGTGGCAACAACATCAGTGTTTAAAAACCTCCATGCAGGTATTGGCAGGATCTCTGAAAAGCACTAACTGTGGGAAACCACAGTAATATTGCGAGCTGTGATGCAATCGGGGGCCCGCCGCTCCAGATTCCAGTGGCTTAAAGAAAAATATGCTGATTAGGTTTAGAGTGGGAGATCAATGCGTTCATTAATTTCTCAGGCAATGTAATTATGTTTGCCCTCGTCGATTATCAATCCACATGCATCTAACAGCACGGCGCGACTCCTAGAAGGGCCGCTTTTTCACAGCCAAGGGAAATAACTTGGCCGACAACACGATGTATATTATATCGCCAAGGAGTGAGCTGAGAGGAGGCAGGGGGCTGTGAACAAACTCTTTAACCCCTCCAGATTTAGTGCTTTTTTTTTACCACTTTTAACTTTTTGATCTTTCGATTTTTTAACAGGCACAAACACAAAAATAAGCACACACACACACACATAACTATAACCACAAGCTCGTGTATCTTCTACTCTAAATACTCCATTTCCAACATTTTTTTGTTAAATTTGTGCCTTGGATTATGTCATTTAGAGCATCCTGACATCTGAAACATGGGTTTCTCTTTGCCAGGAGCAGCCAATCAGAACAAAGGTTGGAAGATTAAAGGAAAGATTAGGAAACCAAAAAAGCTTGTTTTTTAAATAGCAGATGTTGGGGCGCACCAAGGTCTCGTATAAGGTAATGGGACTTCTTCTCATATAAAGCGTTTCTACTTTATTCAGTCAATAATTCACACACACACTCATACAAGTATTTTTTTGTATCAATGACATTCG